AGGAGCCGTTAGGTATGGGAGTGAGCCAGGTCAAGAAATCAAAGCAGAAGCAAGCAGAATGAGCATGACTGATATACCATCCGTGGAGTTTAGCGAAAGCGCGTACAGTGCACTGCGATGCATTAATTACTCTGGTCAGCCCCCGCCCAGCTCGGGACGTGCCTCTACGAGTTAGATGGCTAAGCCCATCAAAACCCGTTTCCCCCCCTTAGACAAAACAAATTGGTAAAAGCAAGATTGGTGCTGATGGCAAATTTTGAATATATGGTTTAGAAGTACGCTTTACTCATATTTTAGTAGATACAATGACAATGAACCTCTTATCAGAGAAGAGAAAATCTTAACAATACTGTACTAGCATCACAAATCCAATGTCTAAATAAAGTTTGGCTATCAAGTCTTCAAGCTAACAAGATACATTTTTTTTAAAAAAGGGTATAAAGAATTGATTATGGTCCCATACTTCCATTACCAGGAGCACTTCTTAAATCAAACAAGCTTAACGTCGACTCTTCCTTCTCTTTCAGTGATACTAATAAAACAAATTGCATTCTGAGACTATTTTTATATTAATCTCAAGTAAAGAAAACCCTTTAGAACTTGTCTAATTAAATACAAAATTGAATAATTTTTTTTTGTGTTGAGTGAACTTAAAATTTATTTACTGAATAAAGAAGGAGTATGGACCAAGAAATGGCAGTGATCTATTCTATTTGATGTATGAATTACACTCACTATAACTTCAGACCACTAACAAATTTCTTTCAAACAGTTTGGATCAGATTCATAAATCTTTGTTAGGCAAATCAGTTAATGGTCACCAATTGCTTGAAAACAGATTTGATATGCCAGTTAGACATTGCAAGTGGAAAAATATGATTCAGCTAGATAGCTTCTTCTCCTTTTCGCTACGCTTATAGCACCTATTATATATGTAGCATCTTAGCAACACCTAAATAAATATATTAACAGACAAAAGGAAGCTTAATAAAGAAGACACCCAAAGCTTAAAAAAGTGAAACCTTACCCATCAATAATTGTAACTGAGCATTTCAAAATCAAATTTATGACTGTATTCTTTCTTACCAACATTCATCATTTAAATAAAAAGCAACAACAGCTTCAACATCCCAACTTTAATTGAGATGCCAGGGCTGTTGCCCACATTCAGTTCATTGATTGACAATTACGAGATTAACAAGTTGGAGCATACATGTAAGAGAGGCTATGTATATTTCACCAAATCCCAGTTCTATGATTACAACAAGCAAACCAACATGCACTGGGAGTAGATTTTTGTTTCAATCAAAACTTAAGAACTGGCATTTGATAAAGTTTGAACAAAATTTAGTACAATTTGGATAGTTTTGATAATGCCATCCTAGGAAGTCAATCAGACAGAACAGTCTTGTTCAAGTCGGTTCAATAATATCATAAAATAATAAAAACGAAAAAAAATTGTTTAGCTTGCCACGTAAACTGATTTACGTGAGATAGGTAGATAACTATGTTACATAACAAGTCTTAAACAATGCTCCGTTAATTTGATTAGTATTAACTTTGAAGTTAAGAAGTCGGATTATTACTGTCATTTGAGACAACAGTAATTTCAGCTGGAGGGGATGAAGAATGAATTTCTTCATGTACTGCTTCATGAATTTCACCATGTTCGTCCATGGATCCTCCGTAAGATGACCGTTCTGGAGGTGGTAAGATTGGGATGGCGGCTTTGACTCGAGGCTGAGGAGCAGCTCGAGGAATAATTTGGTTTTGAGTTGAGTAGTATGTTATGCCACCTTGGGGTTGATACAACTCTGCAGGCTGAGGCTGGCTAACGCCACTCTAAAAAGAGGCAGATAAAACTTGATTACCACACTATCATAAAGATTTTTCTGCATCAATCAATATTTGTGGAAACATACCACCATTGCTATAGGCTGATATGGCTGGAAAGCCAATTGCTGATACTGTCCTTGGACATGGCCTTGAGGCGAAGTAGCCGCAACAAAAGAGGGAGCAGGTCCGCCCACTGGTGGGATAAAGCTGCCAGGAGGCAGAAGGCCGGCAGGGGGACCTGGGGGTGGCGCAATGAAAGAGCCCTGGGCTAAGCCTTGAGGTGGGAGGCCTTGAGGTGGGAGACCACGAGGTGGAAGACCTTGAGGTGGGAGACCTTGAGGTGGGAGACCTTGGGGCGGAATACCCTGAGGAGCAAGACCCTGTGGGAAGCACTGGATTGTACTGGGAATGGTACTTGGCAAAGTGGTAGGCATGGTTGGCACAGGCGGGCCTGCCACAGCAGGCTGGTGCCCTGGTGAGGCAGCAGGCATTGAAGGTGTTTCCTGGTACATCGGGGCTACACCTGGAGGCACACCTGGGGGCACACCAGCAACTGGAGCAGGTCCATATCCTGCAGAAAATGGAAAACACAGAATTTCAAGGTCAAGCCATTGAGAAGCACTAAAACTAAAAACTCAAAGGAATTGCAGGAAAATTAAAGGTTTAGAACATTTGTTCAAAATGCCAACTCTTGGGAGGGGACTCTAAAAATTACCCAGTTATTATTGAGACTACTGACAACTAGAGTACCTATATGTTTTCAGCATGACCCTCATTTTCTTTCATCTGGTAGTATTGAGGAGAAGGGAAGCACAGGGATGTGTGAGGATAAACATAAGATGGGACAGGGGAACCAGAGCCAGGCCCTGTGGGGTAATGAAGCAGTTCACAGGAATGAATGGGAATAGAGCATGACCGGACATTGAGACCAAGAAACAGATTTACCAAAAAAAAAAAAAAAATGTAATTGAGAAATAAAGAAAAATATTCAAACCTGGTTGGTAATAGGCATGGGGAGTTGGAGGTGTGTAGCCTGCTGAGACAGGAGGCTGTTGAGCAGGACTAGTTTCAGGCACATTGCGAGCTCTCATAGACGAGTATCGCTTAGGTCTGCTTCCAGCATTATCTTGCATTCTAGGAGGCATGCTTTGCCTTCTGTCCGTAGTACCATTCGTGTTTCCATCTGAGAAAATTAAATACAAGTTTTCATATTTCATAATACAGTCAAGGTAAATATGACACAAGAGACACCAGCACTTACTACTCGGGCGACGCTGATAATCCCCTCCAGAAGAAGACTGTGGGTGGGTTGTGGAAATACTTAAATTGCCCATATCTCTACTGACGTCTTCAGTGTACCCACGGTGACCACCGTCACTCTCATTCTCCTCGTCATGCTCCCTCTGCTGCCTTTGATTTCCTTGAGGAGGAGGCCCTCCTCTCCTAAAACCACCCCTACCGCCTCCGCGGCCTCTACTTTGACCATTTGATTGAGAATGGTCAGACCATCTGTGCCCTGCAATAGTATGAAAACTGGATAGTTAAGATAACATTCAGAGAACCTTAAGAAAAAAAATTGTTGCAAAGGAAGAACAGACCTTCTCTGTCATCTTCTCGCCTGTTCCGTGCCTGAGATGGTCTACCTCCTCTACCACGAATATTTCCTCTTTCTCCACCAGCACCATCCCCATCCTCATTTGAGTCCCGGCGCCAACCTCTTCGTTGATCTTCTTCTTGCCTGTTGTTAAAACATTAGATTAGATGAGAATGTAAGAAAAGAGGACCTTATCACAAAAAAATATTTTCTCTTTTGTGAGCTTAACATATAAAATAATTTGTACCTAAATGAGGTCTGATGGTTTGAGGAAGCATGCTGTTGATGTCCTCTTTGCTGCTTCTGCTGTGACCCAAATGGTGCAACAACTTCTTTTGGATTAGCATTAAATGTGCCAGCAACAGTCTTTGAAGTCACACTTCCTGACACTTTGCTGCTAAATGAAGGTTGAGAAACAACCTTACTTTCCTCACCATTCTTCACCTATTAAATAATTCATCATTTTTTTAAGATAATAAAAAAAGGGAAGGGGTAATTTGATAGATGTGTAATAATAATTAAATATGACAACATCTGCAAAGTTTATCTTCTTACCCCATTATCATCTGAATTTGAGAGCGCAGGGTATTCCTGTTTCTGAACATCATTGCCATCTCCACCATCACCACTAGCATTGCCACTGTTTCTATAGCCACCTCCAGCCCCCCGTCCTCCTCTGCTGAGAACTCTGGGCTTGCGTGGCCCTTTCTTGTTTTCTCCTGCCTCTTTTTCTACAATGAATGCACTCAGGGGTCTACTGTATGCTTCTTCATCTTCCCAACTTCGAGTATATTTATTAGGACCTCGGCTGAAACAATAAAATACCCATTTTAATAGATACCTAAGGAGAAACAACATATGCACTTACTATGTGGTATATCTACAACATACCCATATCTGCGTCGTCTTCTGGCTTTAGGAGCAGCTTCTTCATTTCGGATGTCATATCCATACACACTTAATAACTCTTCACGAGATTTGGGCGCTTGATCTGTTTCCTGAAAGAGATCATGTTGCCACCGATCTTCCCTATCTTTCCACACTTTTCGACCAGACTCTTTACCAGTTTCTTTACCATCCCGGCTGTCTATCTTGGATTCTTTAGATGGTGTTTCTTGCCTGAAAATGCAATAAAAAGCAATAGAAATATCAGACACATTATACATCACATCACACCATTATATTGAAACAAACCAGATCAGCTCGGATAACTCACATGTCATCAGCAGTTCTGTCGTCATGTTCGTAAAACGTGCCCCGCTTAGGAATGTACTGAGGATTTCTCCTATCTTCATCATCATCCAGCTTCTTCTCCTTAGATGGAGAGCTTTCCTAAGTAACAAATAGGTTGATGATAAGATTTAGGATACTGATCTTAGAATAGTAGTGGAATGTGGGTAAAATGAGTCTCAAAAGACAAAAAAAACAGAAAAGTTTTAAGAACAAGCATTTAAAGTTACCTGTCCATCACCCTCCTCCCTTTCATCATCAACAGTAACACTTTCTCGGTCACTTTCAACTGTGTCATCAAGTTGGTCATCGTCATCTGGAACTCTTTCTTCATCTGAAGAATCCAAGGGTTGTACATTTGGGCCCTCACCATCAAGATCTCCTTCACCATAGTCAGATAGATGGTCATTTTCGCCCGCTGTTTCATCAGGGTCCTGAAAATTTGAAGACATGTGATTAAGTGGCTCAATCACAATAAGATGCATGAGATTAGGGAATATACTATTTAGTAAATAGTAGACTGACACCCATCCGAGTCAAGTATTAATTACATTGGAAGGTCAAAGAATATTATTGCAACCAAAAGGTAGAAACTTGAACCGTACATGGGTGACACTTTGAAGAAGGCTGCTCATAAATCAAATATGCAGCTATTTCAGAGCACAACCCAACAGATTGGACTTCGGACATCTACTTGAGTCTTTTCAATTCAGTAACACATACCAAAACAGAAATGGACAAGTAAATTGCATGGCTTAACATAGAACTTAGTGCACAGAAAACTTGAAAATAACAAGAAAATATCAAGGAGATTTATAAATATATTTTTTTGAAAGGGAAAAAAAATAGGGGAAAGGGGAAAGTGTGACAGGCAAGAGATGGATTTAAATTTAAACCACAGAATGAGAGAAGAAAAAAAAAAACAGAATAAGAATAGATAATAATTAGATAAGAATCAAACTGCTATGGAAACATCGAAATGCCTACTTATGTCGTTTCATTTGGTAGATTTAACAAAACTGACAGTCTCAGGCAAAGTAGGTTGACACAGAGGTTAGAAGACCTACTTTAATCACAGGGGTCAAGGAGTGCTTCAAAAAGAGCTACGATTCCACGGATTTAAGAGAAAATAATTTTGACGAGAACAAACTAATCAGCAGTTACCAATAGATGCCTATTTACATTAGAAATAGATTTCTAACCGGTGTTGGTATCACTGTCAAGGAGGGCTAGGCCTAAACTTACTGCATCGGATCCCTTGCCCGGAGTGTCATAATTTGAACACTGGGACAACTCTTCTGAGTCTTTTGAGGTATCAACCTCTTTCTGTTGGTCGGCGACAACAGTTTCTTCTGAAGCCGACATTATTTTAACACAATTTGAAGGCAGCCAAAAAAGGTCGTTGATACTGCACGACCACGTTGTAGTGTTCTGCGTCGAGCAGGGATATGATGGGTGGGGTTGCTAACATACAACGGTTTTTGTACGAAATGTCGGTTTTGCTGAGAGAAAGTGTATCGACTTAACGAAAAATAAGTAAATGTACCGATGCTTGAGATATTTGGAAATTTCGAGAGACCGGCTGCTACGATAGAACAACACTTTGGATGAAATTGTTTCTTACTTGACTAATCTCTGCCGTGCATTTGTTTATTATCCGAAAATCTCGAAGGCAGTGTTTAAAGGCAAGGGGCGAGGAGGAAGGAGGGGTGAGGGGACCGGCTTTACTGCAAATAAACAAGCAGACGACGAGACTTCAAGAAGCACACAAACCACAAACTGTACTTGTACTTGTGAGGCTTTTGTGCACTGAGATTGACGCTCTGTATGTTTAAATGGGAAAGTCGTTCAAAACTTAATTGTTATTTCTCGTATGGTTATGCCTTAGTGTGATAAGGCTCAAAGGAATAACGCCAAAATGCCGACTATCGTGCTTCTGGATGTGTCTCTGTCAATGGCAAGACCAGTATCTGTGCAAGACTCTGGAGAAACATACACTAGACTTCAACTTGCCATCCATGGTATCAACACACTTTTGGATTATTTTAATGTGTATACTAGACTAGAATTTGTGTCTTTGGTAAGAATTATCGTAATGTTTACTACAACGTCTCTTTCAAACCTTTATCCGTAACATTGATCATTTTCTGACTTACAGTTAACATATTCATCTCTTTGCGATGAATTGTGCCCTTTCACAAGGGATTTTGAGTCTATAAAACAAAAACTTCAGACAGTTGAAGATCAAGATAAAACATGTATAGAGCCTGCATTACATGCTGTGAATCGTTTAGTGCTGAAGGAATGGGGCAGTGCTACGCCGTGCCATGTATGACAATCAGTATTGTAACATATCTCATTATTTTGGGGGCCCTTTATTTTTGTTAATTTTTCTATTCCAGGTGATTATTGTGTCAGATGGTAGTTGTGGAGCTACAGATTCGTCCATCAAACATATTTTAGACCAGAATGCTGGTCCTCATCGGCCGTGTTTGCCTTTTGCATTTCCTGGGAAACTAAGTGCACTTATCATAGCTAATCCTAATGAACCACAGCTGTCGTACAATTTGCAGTTATTTAAAAGACTCACTGATCTAGCAGGAGGAGAGGGGATTATTCATACTCCTGAAGGCCCTTTGTCCATAGCTAGTGTCCAAGCAATGGTTCGAAAAATGGCTGAAGCAGAATTTACTTCTTATCAGGGTACATTGCGATGTGGCTCCCTATCCTCTAAAATCACGCTGTCACCTCATCCTCTAGTAAGTCAATTTAAAGATGCTGTAATTACATTTTAAAAACCACAATTTTTGAGGCTGGAAGCTTGCAGTCACGCAAATATAATTGATTGTATTAACAATTTTACCCAATTGCATTTTTAAAAGACTTTTTTTAACACATTTATAATGTATTTTTTTCTAATTCTAGCCGTATACTCATGTAAAAGACTTCTCAACAGAAACCTATAGAATTGGCGACCAACTAAATGTCGTTGGATTTTGGGATTTGTCTGACATCGGAAGCCCTGCAGCTGTGTCAAGACATCTTGTGCTTCCCATGGGCTCAGGCCTATCTAATGTCACAAATCATTCTGATGTTAAAAATGAGGATTCAGATGATGAAAGTCACGATGAGGGAAAACCCCATCCTTCTGTGTTCTTCTTCATGGAGCGTTAAAGGTCATTTTTGTTGCCAATTTTCTATAGCTGATCTTTAATTGTTCTTACTAGGTCCCTCACAAAATATTATCTTTGTAGGTTGAGAATATGGCTGCTCTATGTGAAGTTGCTGAGGGATGGTTTGGAATCCTTTTCTCCTGGGCTGATAATAAAAAGAAGTCAAACCTTATGCTCACAGTCCTAGAACCAGGAACGGACACAATTCCATGGTTAGGAGATCTGGAACAGCTTGGTTCTGCAGAGGATGCTGAAGACTTATCTGCTTTACCTTCGTTCCCTGTGCGTCCTGCTGAGAAACGAAGTTACAGTCAGAGCACTGTTGCCTGGATAAGGCAATCAGGTTTGCATTCTGACATCCAAAAAATACTTCGTAGTGCACGCAAATTACCAGATAAAACTCAACATTTCTATAAGGTGAGCTTAATTTTGTATCATTAGATATCTCCTACCTCAGTAACATTGTATTGTATAGTATGCGTTTTTTTACTTCATAGGAATTGAACCGTGTTCGCAAGGCTGCTGTGCAAGTTGGGTTCTTAGAACTTTTAGATGGGCTGTCAAAAATATTTGAAAAAGAATGTCATGCCTTACCAGACAAAGCTCATCCTGACTGTGCATTGCAGCTCACCCATTGTGCCAGTGTTTTAAGGAGGAGAGAGGCACGTGAGCTAAAATTCTCTATTACCCCGTTACGCACTTCTTTCCATGGTGGAGATGACTGATCAGAAGGGATGTTGGATTAATCAATCTGATCTTATACTACAATCCCAAGTTACGCAAAGAATTCCAGCTAGGGAAGATTCACTTAATTCATTTGTTGAATTAAACTCAGAAACATGGGAAAATATCTGCCTGCATATTTACATGAAGTCAACAAGGACTACCTATTATCCTGGATTGTCAAATTGTTTTGTGTCATTTTAACAAGGTGTATTAATTGAAACTTCAAAATGTTATGGAAAAAAATCCAAATAGTTTTCAACATTACTTATTCATTTTATTTTGTCTGAACTTATGTTTAAAGAGCAACAAGCTAGTTCATTTATGTTACAGTAAGATTTTTGTCACATCAGGAACAATAGATTCAGTAAGATGTCCAATCTAGTAAACACTGCAATAAAAGGAGATAAAACACAAATGCCCTGAGCCCTTTCAAGAGTGTCAACATGTTGTAAGGTGATTAGAAAATATAAGGCAACAAATTCAAGTTAACTAGGTACTTGATAACTAGGAGAATAACATGAGCAGCCAGTTTCATTAAAAATGATGTCAAGAGAATTGGCAATTGTGTGAATTTGAAGTACAAAAAATTTATAAATGCGATATGAATAAGCTAAATGCTTAGTAATTATCTGATATCCATACATTTGTGGCAAGGGTAATAAAGTACTACTGAATTTTTAAAAAGTTTGCTCATTTTTTAGCAAATTTTCACCCATTAAATGAAAACGAACCACACAAATTATAACTATCAATGCAATTTTGAACAGTCTTCAATACAGCTTACCTACAGAAACAGTACATCCATCTACATTTTAGAAATTTGAGTACAAGCAAGATGGTGACAATGGTGCATGATGTATTAAAATTGAAAATACATACTACAAAAACTCCCCCAAAAAACTTGAAGAAAATGCCATAAGTCTTTATTGATGGAAAAAAGGAAGACCTTAAAAGGGAACATCTGCCACAAAGTTTTCACCATTGTACCAACCTCGATATCAGTCAATACTGCTGCCAAGTGCTTAGCATTTTAATCAAATATGTACAAAACCCGTCCAGGAATGGCGCTTGTAAGTCATGCAATATACTTTGCACCATCTGTTAAAGCAAACTTTTAAAAATTATCTAACATACTTAGCTTCTTTAATGTGAACATCACAGATTACTGCAGCTAATTCTATACCTGCATCCTACTGTGGAACTCGACAAAACTGAATACACTGCTTTTCCGGAATAATACCTTACAGATTACATATTTCAAAACAAGCAAAGATATATATATAAAAAATACGAATCTCAATCAATTTTCAGAGTGAAGGTGGAACTGTATAATAAAGGAACGCTAATAAAATACTATAATGTAAAACAGTCTCCCTGTGAACACACGTGGAACACATCTCTGTGATATTTTCAATCACACTCAACATTTTATAAACAAGAAACATGGTTTAAATGCTCAGGGATGGTGAAAAGTAAAGCCACATACAATAATTTATAAATAATGTGTGTACTAAATACAGACATACCTGCATGCTTTAAGAAAAAAATTATGCACTTCAAGAGCATTAACATGACTGAAGTACACTATTACACAATAATAATTGAGTGGAACAGGAATGGATCATTCCCCGGGAATATAGAAAAAAATTGATAGTAAGTTTCATACTAGTCAAAGGGAAATTTAAGCACTACTTAAACAAATTCAAGACTGGGAATTGGCCAAAGTCAAGTGCGGAGTTAAATTTAAAATAAATAGAGAAGAAATTCTAGGGAAAGAAAATGTGATCAAAATATGACAAACTACAAGCACATCTTGTTTTCCTTACAGTAAAATACAACAGTAAAAAAAAACAAAAAAAAAACATGTGACTAAAAAAATTCCTGAGCCACTTATAAATATAGGAAAGTTTAAACAACCTCAGTTTTTGTACATTCGCATAGTGAAGCTGAAACATAGCAACAGTTTCTCAGCTGAGTTAAATGTCTCACTTCACACCAATAAATACAAAACAGAGCTAGTAAACTTCAGAGGAACTAGATAATTAATCAATATTGGAATTTCAAATAAAGCAGTTAACACACAGCCACAATCAGCATAAGCGATTTAAAACAAAATAAAAAAAATCATTTAATCTTATGAGACCTATTTTGTCGCAGATGCAGGAGAAAGTGATTGATGCCCTACTTTCACTAAGGTACATTATCAGGCAAAACTATAGAGAATTTGTAATTTGCTCTTACAAAGGCACTTATCACATTAAAGAACAAGAAAGCTGTTGTCCTAATATTTCTAAAATACCCATCTACTCTGTCAAGCACAAAATCTTGACAATGACAATAATAAAAGCATGGTATCAAAAATATTCTGGTCAATGTGCAATGCCCATGCATGTTTCATGATTGTACTTGGTGCCTTGATGCAAGGCAACAAAGGATTGGTTACAATTAATCACGCTTACAAATTTAACATTACTTATTTTCATCTTCATACTGAATAACACCTTTGTAACGTGGAAGTTGAGAGTACTTTAGTCCAAGAGTTTCGGCAATATCTTCAAGAACATCCAAAACCTAAAAAAGGAAGTTAGTAATAAATATCACATATCATATTTTAAATGAAGGAGTTTGCACTCTAAGCTACATCATCACAGCTCTTCTGAACTGAGAACAAGAAAAACTTACATTATCCAGTTGTTCCTTGGTGTGAGCGGCAGACAAACAAAACCGGATACGACCTTCCATTAAAGGAGTTGCAGGGAAGCCCACTCCAACTGCAGCAATGTTTTTCTTTGCAAGAGTTCTGACCACAGCCCTAACAGACATACGTTGATAGTTAGTACAAAGCACAGACAGACAAATTTAATCAAATTAAGTTTAATATTTTTATATGGCACTGATAGTGTTAATAACTTTACCCAATTTTGGAGAACATGTAAACCAGTAAAGGTACAACTGGAGAATCTTCATGGCCATAAATAATAACGCCCATTTGATGTAAACGGCGCCGGAAATATCTGGTGTTGCGAGCCAATTGCATTACTCTTTTCTGACCTGTTTAGACCAGAAAAAAATTGATATGAAGTTTGTAATTAAGTTTTAGAAACAAACATTTCTGACAAAAGTGACATAGTGTAACCTTCATTGGTTCCATCTTCCCCCATGATAATGCGCATTGAGGTAATGATCTGCTGGGCAATTGGGGGCGCCATAGTTGAGGCATAACAGGCAGCATGGCTGTTTACACGCAAGAAATCTACCAATTCCTAGAAAAAAATTAAAAAGTAGATAAAAACTAGGGTCGTTTAATATTTTGTTGTTGGTAGAACTTAGTTTATTTGACACAAGAATTATACTAATGTGATAATAATGTACCTTTGAGCCTGCAATGTAACCTCCAGCAGATCCAAAACTCTTTGTGAAAGTTCCCATCAAGACATCAACATCATGAGGATTAACACCATAATAATCCAAAACACCTCGGCCTCTCGGTCCCATTGCACCAACACTGTGAGCTTCATCTAAGAACAGGTAAGCCTATGGGAATGGGGAAGAGGGGAGGGGGTTAAAAATTATATATACACTGAAAGTAAGTGTAGCATTTTGTGGATAGTATACCTAGTCTACCATTTTCTTATATTAACTCACCTTGTATTTCTTCTTCAAAGCAATGACCTCAGGTAGATGTACAAGAGATCCTTCCATGCTATAGACGCCTTCAGCAACAATAAATATTTTTTTCCAAGGTGCACCAGTTTTTGGTTGGCCCTGAACAACGGCAGTCCGCAATACTTTCTCTAGATTTTTCATGTCTGAAAATTAAGTTGAAATACAACTGAAACCCAACTGCCTAACTACCATCAAAAAATTCAGTTTGCAGAAACTTACTATTATGTTTAAACACACGTGTAGTAGCACCAGATAGTCGCAGTCCTAGAATAAGTGAGGCGTGGTTTTTCTCATCACTAATGACCAAGCATCCAGGTGATAAAAGACAGGGTAAATTTAAAGCATTAGTTGCAAAACCCATTCCAAAAGTAATAGCAGCTTCCACACCCAAAAAGCGAGCTGTAGTTTCTTCAAGTTCCAGATGAATTGGGCTTGTGCCTGAGGGCAATAAAAAGATAGAAATTGATATTTGAGATGAAAACTTTTCTTCTTCTGTACTTTGAAAGATTCAATGACATACCAAGTTCATGGCTTGTGCTACCTAATGCACAGGCATATTTTTTGATTGATTGAATTGAGTCCTCAGCACATTGACCAGTAGCCTCAGCAAAACCCAGGTAGTTGTAGGATCCTAAATTTAGGCATTTCTTTTCTAGGCCAGTGTACCTATTACGAATGTAAGCAGACAGTTCGAATCCCATATTTTGAAACCAGATACACACATTTCATAGCTGCAATAAGTCTTACTGAAAAGTCCATCCATAATCATGGGTGATACGGTCCTTCAAAACAACTTCAGCTCCAGGGACACTACATATTGGTCGATTCCAGCAATCTCTGATACGTCTGTACACATATCGTGAATAAAATTGTTCAAATCTATTGTAGAGAGGAACATATCCCTATAAAATAATAAGAAATAATAATAAGTAAGTATTGTTCATTCAAAAAAAAAAAAAAAGAGGAAATTGTTCAAGTAAAAAGATACTAACCTTCCTATTTCTTTCTTTGGCAACTGGAGGGGCAAACAGAAACTGATTGAGGTATCCTAACACCACAAGCAAATAAAAGCCCATATATGTTGTTACTGCTGTGACCAGTGGTACTTCTTCAAAAGATTCTTTGGAGTGAGGCTTCTTTTTAGGCTCACTCTGAGGGACACCTGTAGTTGTTCCATTGCAGTGGGCCTGTAAAGAATAAGAGCCAGTCCCAATTGAAAAATACTGTAAAATGATGGAAATATTATTTTGAAATAATTATGGGCCAACATTGTGAAAAATAGTAAAAATCAGATATAAAATTAGATTAGGGTGAGTGGGGTGGGAGGGAGTCGCCCAGGGTCAACACTTGGTAACCACTTCAAAACAGAGCCATAGTGCATAAAAGAACTCTTCAGAGAGCAAGGTGGGGGAAGTGTGGGTAGGGCGTAGGTGCTAACACTGCCTCACGCTTCTGTTCTCATTAGCAGACATGGTGCAGCAGGCACACTTGAACATGGTTCAATTATAGCAACAACAAAAAAACACAAAAAAATTCTACAAAAAATCAACAACTTTGATATTAAGTTATTCTCCACATAACACTGTGTGACAAATTTCTTTAAAACATTTTTTTTTAAATGCTAAAATTAGTTGTGTTGGGGGTACAGATACCTCTCCCGGAAAGATTGTTCATTCCAGTATGTGGAATCAATTATTAGACAATCAGCGCTCCAGACAGAACTCCAAGTCTCTACCTCCACTAGACCAAAACTCAATATGCCATGGGAGGTGGGGGGACTTTCACATTAACAAAGATGTAGCCAGATCACAACAGTACTGGCCCCTCTACAAAAATCAGAGAGACGATGAAACCGGTTAAGGGGCCCTAAATATTTTCTCTAGGAGTGCCAGGGCTGGGTCCTGAGGAACCAGCAGAACACCTAACCTGTACGTCAACCCCCAGCGGGGGTCTGTCGTGCGTGTACCGCGCGAAAGGGGGCGGTAACGTGGTGTCATAATAGGGGCGCGACGGCCCGTTAAGCAAGGGCGTTGTCACCCTCGGTATTGGAGGGATAGACCTTATCTTAACTTGGACTGGAGGGTCGCAGTCGACACCGCCCTGCGGGTTGGGCAGTCCCTGTGTGCCCCCTTTCTCACTTACGGTAACATGCCCATTCTTTTTGGAGTGGACGACCCCGTTGGCCTTCCCGTTGACAACGTTCAGGGCGTGCTTGCCGTTGACCGCGAAGGTTTTGAGCTGATGAGCGCCGTCGCTAAGGAGTCCCTCTGTGGCCATGTTTGGACGTCTGCATGTCTCGCCGACTGTGACTGTTCCGTTCGCCTCGTCTTCGTATCCGCAGCGCTCCGCGCGCCCCGCGGTCACTTTTGGAACTACCGCCACTTCTCTGCGCATGAGCCGCTCCGGCTCTCGGAAAGCACCAACTGCAAACAGCAAACACGAAATTTTCTGTAACGACAAGGGGCGGTTGTGGGGGGTGGTGCTCGGAAAAGGGAAATTTCGGGGAGACACAAAGCGAGTTTGCTAGAGTAATTGTTTCGCGGCCGAAGACGAAGAGGATCGTTTACTTCACCGACTTTTCTGAACGGGAAAGGCTTAAGGAGGCGGGGCATCCGTTCTGTGGAGGGAGAAGTGTGCGGGTGACTCATCTTGTCCGGATGTTGGAGGAGAACCGGCACCGAGCAGCCAGTCAGCAGCCCAGCAGCAGCAGCCGCCATCACCAGTCGATTGTTTTCCTTTTCGGACACACGTTTGACAGTTACCCCGTGGTCGCCACCTGACGTTGACTTTCGTCGATTCCGGAAAATCACGACTTTTTCCAAAATTTTGCAAGTGTTACGCAACTGCAGTGCAGCCTTAAGTGGAGAGTGCGCCCCGTTTGACTGGAATAAGAGAGAAGTCGGATTCTCCAACCATGGATTCTGAAGGTAAGACGGATCTGCACACAAACACAGGCCCTAGCGGGGCTAGCCCCTCCCTGGCCCTGCGGAGGGACCCGGAGTCTGTGGACGATTTCGAGCACTTGGAGGCGTACAAATTTTCACCCACCAGGGATAGCGGTTTACACGCAGACGATGTGCTTCACGAGGACTTAGCGGCGCAGAAATTCGAAATGTACCCAGAGCGCGATGACATTGCCGAGTTTACTCAACCCAAACAGCCAGCACATGATTTTGGTTTGGATTTTCCAGAACTGAAGGCGTTTGAGCGCAAGAGTGAGGTACCCCCTCCGCACGACCCCCTGGATGACTTCCTGAGTGGAGGCATTGGCCAGGGTGCAAACCCTCAACACTTTGCTGAGCCCATCAGGAATTCACCTCCAGCAGCCCAGGCTGGCAAGGACATCATGGACACCATGTCGTTCCTGCATCATGAGTCGCAACCACATTTCACGCCTGCTGCTGGGGACACGTTTATGGATAATCAGTACTCAGGATCGCCTGACAAAGAAGATTATAGCCTTGAGGATGAAGTGATTCGTCACAAGACTCCATCCCCTGACCTGTTGCCAGAACCCACTAAAAAACAACCCTCTACCTTCGATGAGAATCCTCTGGATGACTTTGGCACTAGTTTTGGTTTCTCTCCCAAAAAGAGTGATCCTTCACCTCATGCAGATCCTCTCGAAGATTTCCTCTCTAAACCTGCACCTGCCAGAGAGCCCTCACCTGAGCCTATTCGTGAGCCTTCACCTAAACCTGTCCGTGAACCCACTCCAGAACCTGTACGAGAGCCTTCACCCCCTCCTGTACGAGAGCCCTCTCCTTTGCCTGTCAGAGAGCCAACTCCTGAACCTATTCGGGTACCCACCCCTGAACCCCCTCCAAAACCTAAAGCAGCACCTATTCCAACATTCCTGGAGTCCGAATATGTTGAGAAGAAACCTGAGAAGAAGGAACCTGAGCCCAAACCTGTGATTTCGAAGCCTACCTCACCACCCCCAGCACCTCCAAAGCAGGTGTCGTCTGGCGGAACTAAAAGCTGCGATGGGCTAGGTGAGTGACCGTGATTCACTTGACGCTTGTACTGGTGATGGATACCTTGTCAGTTGTTGCTCAGTGGCTGTCAAAAAATGCTTTAGTTGTTTAACTGGCAATTCCAAAGAAATCTGTGTGCTTTGTAAAATTTTCTGCTGCAAAATGCTCTGGCTTTCATTTTCCAAAACTAATGATATTATTTTTAATCTGTTTAATGAGTACATTCTAACGCTGCCTTGAAAATCTCCCAGAAAAGTATGTTTCCCCTCTACTTTGTTTTGTGATTAGGTGATTTTATGAGTCACGCCGACTCGTCGGGTGTGAGGTTCCGGCTAGTCCTTCCCAAAACTTAGGCCCCACGTTGGGCGCCAAATGTGAGGTTCCCGGCTAGTCCTTCCCAAAACTTAGGCCCCACGTTGGGCGCCAAATGTGAGGTTCCGGACAAGCTCCGTGGTTTTTACCTCTAACATTAAAAGTAAAAGTGTTCGATGGCTGGACGATTGTGTGAATTTTGAGGAAAAGGAGATTGATCACGCAGAGCAAATACAATTTACAAATGACACTGTAATTCCAGTTCTACAGAGGCAGGGTAGTACAGCAGGACTGGTGGCAGGTCAACACACACAAAAGGTACAGGTGAGGTCGCGAGGGCACTGATTGGAAGGCACACGCACACAACACTACAACACTGGCTCTGCTTTTGGGTATAACACACACACACTATCACTTCACTGTATCACTTAATCCGTGGTGCCCCGGTGACGTCAGGGCGGGACGGAGCCGGTAGGGGTGCGCAGGGGTCGCGAGGTCAGCGGAGCCGCGCGGGTTGCCGGCGACGTCACGCGTACCGTCCCACTTCACGTCTCAAACCGAACTGTTGTTGCTGACGCTCGCTCGCGCCCTCCTCCAAGCTCCAGGATCCCGCCCTCGCTGCCCACCGCCGCCGCCGTCTCCTTCGTGGCCCCCGAAGTCCAGCCGAACGTCCGGGGTCTTCCCTCTGGTCTGCTGGGGGGCTGCCGAACCTGCCGAAGTCACCCCGTCGCTCGCGCGCGCCTAGGCGAGGGGGCGCGGGGGTGGCGGGGAAGCAGCAGATTTCGGCGGGGCGCGCTGCATCCGTGCGGGGGCCCCGTCCGTCGTCCTGCTCGTCCGCTCGGCCGC